GGATAAAAATTCTCAAATTTTTAAATTTAATGTTTAAGCAAAAACCTATAGGATTTTTTTAGTTGACCCTTTGGATTAATAAAAAAAAATAGTACGATATGATTTGCTCAAAAAAGTATTTGAATTATCGAAAATCGACGTTTTTGAAAATCTACATAAGTTTACAATTAATAAATCAAATTTTATTATTTAAACAATATAAAATGATAGATAAAGGATTGTACATATATAAATATATATTATAGTATGTATAATTAAGTTTATTAGGATTTAATTTAGAGAATGATGCAACGCTCGTTTTAAAGCAATACATCCGCCGCGACTGAGCGATCTCCAAAGAGAGAATAGTAGAAATTTTAAAAAATTTTAACTTTCTACTATATTATATTACTTCTATTATAAACTTTCTACTATATACCGACAGAAATTATAAAATTTCTATTTATTATATTGAAATAATTCTTTTTAATTCTACATTTTTGTGTAATTATTTTTATACTATCCGAAATTCAGTAAATGTATATTTAATAAAAAATAAAGAGGTACCCAGAACGCTTACAAGCTAGCCATGTAGATCCCAAGTATCCTCTTTGAACTTTCGTGCATATTCTCATATTGAGAATAACGTAAAAAAAGAAAAATATCCTTGTAAGCTTATCTATGAACAATTAAAGTTTTTTTTTCAGCCTTTGTCAAGCGGGTTTTAAAATTATATTATATAAAAAATTATATAAAAATTATATAATTAAAATTTATATAATGAAAATTATATTATAAAAAGTTAAAATTATATTATAAAAAGTTATATTATAAAAAAGTTACAGTAATGAAAAATCGCACAGAGTATGTTGAATCCAAGAGTGGTTGGCTAGGATTTAATCCAGAACTTTATCTTTTTATATGTATCATCTCTGAGACTAATTTTCTAAAATATAATTGCTTTGAATCAAGGATTATTACATTATTCCAGTCCATGTTGTAATTATAACCCAATTTATGAGATATTACAGAATTGTGTTTTCAGGCTTTCTAGTATCTGATTTCTGTTCCTTTATACGAGTGTTCAGCTTTCTTTTGCTTTGACGTATGAAGACTTTGCCCGACATATGAAGACTCGTAATCAAGGCAATTAATTTTGTATACGACATTCACATGATTTTCTTTTTTATTTTATTTTTGCTAGTTTTAATAAACTTAAATTGTTCATAGCTTTCTGAAATTGAATTTTTTTGTTGTTGATTTTTCAGAAATGTTTTTTAGATAAAGAACAACAAAGAACTTTTCTTTTTTAATATTTTTTATATTATTTTAATATTGAAGTCAGAGATATTTTTTCTTCTTCTTTAATATTATCGTATTTTTTTGTTTTTTTAAATGATCCTATTGTTTGATCCTATTGTTGATGGAGAATAAAAATTCTAGAGGATATTCATTATTCAATAATACGTTAATTAAAAGCATAATATTTTTTCGTGAAATCTTGGATGGGATAAAAATACAATTTTAAAATACAAAAAAAATACAATTTTATTAAATTGTCCAATGACGACCCCTTTTTTATAGAGTAATTAGAATAAAAATTTAAATAACGATCTGAATTTGTCGGTTTTTTATACATATAAAAAATAATTTCTTCATCATCGGTTGATAGTATTACATCTAAGTAACTAATTTCTCTATTGTCGTTATATTCAACAGTTTTAACTTTATTCTTTCATGCTACGAATTAAACCTATCAAGAATTCATTCGATTTGTTCAATAAGAGCTTACAATAATATTATCAAGATCTGTGATAAAATGGAACAAAAATGACAAAAAACATGTAGCATGACAATGCGTTGATTATTCTTTTATTACATTCGTTTTCTTTCACGAGGCAAACGTTTTGCTTCAATAAGAATCACCATCGTTAAAATGTCAATGTGTCGCGCGAAAAAGAAAATAGTGCATGGCCCCTACAAGATAATACATCGAGATACATGTTTGTGTAAACGACGCATATGATAGGAATTGGAAACGAAGGGATTGCGTTTTGATGGCAAACAAAGCTCGACACGATCTATATTTCTCTGTAGTCAATTTTCGGCTCCGTCTCCTGCTATTCTTTTCACCTCATTACCCCGCGCGCAGTCTAAATGCCGCTCGACGCTTAGTAGTGTATAATAGTAGCTCGTAGACATGAGGCCTATCTGCTTTGAGCGTTCACACTGTAAACTTTATTTTATCTTTTTTTTTTGTTTATTACATAACTACAATAGAATGAAGCAACGCGCATAAGATTGAGTGCATTGCTTCATTCTATCTTAATTATATCCTAAGCGACGAACGGCATTGCATGGCATTTGGATTATACGCGGGGTGATAAGAAGAGTAGCGGAAGGCTGAGTCGAATCAAAAATCACCGAGAAGTGCAAATCGAGCGTGGCATAGAAACATTTTCCTGAGACAAATAGTTTAAGATTACATAAACTGTTAATTTGTTTTTTTTCTCTCTTTTTTGCTTTTTTTAGCTTTTTTTTGCTTTTTTGGGTTATCATCTTTCAAGCCACTACACTGTTAAATCTATAGTGTCAAATTTAACCTACGTGACGTCGCTACTCCTACTAAATATAATTATTTTATACTAAAACAATGGTTACATTTGACATTATCAAATTTGACAATATAGTGTCAAATTTGATAATGTCAAATGTATCGTTTTGATAAAACATAACGATATATTTAGATAGTAGGAGCACTGGCGATTTATGTTAAATTTGACATTATAGATATAACAATGTTTTATTTGATGCATCCATCGTATTGATTGTTTAAATATTGACTGGCGACCAGTTGTGTAGGCGGACGATAAAGGAATAAAAGCATAGAAATATGTAAGCTATATGCGTAATATCGTGCTGATTCGCGCCAGTCGAGTCTAATTAATTTCCTCAATAATAATAACGCAATGGATCTTTCTGCGTTATCACTGCCGTTTTATCACATATTGTTCACGTGTAATGGGTTACGTCTGAAGCCATTGCACTTATGTGTGACGTCTGCACAAACTAAGTCGTATGTAGTGTTAATGTATACACAGTGACGAATTTCGAATGCGGATAAAAAGGTACATTTTTTTCCATTTTCTGTGTATATTTATCGTAAAGTTTATAAAAATAATATTAAAAATAATTATTTTAAAATACAAAGAAAGAGAGAGAAATAAAGCATTTATTCCTATCCTAAGACTTGTCCTCTAGGAACAAATTAGTAGGTATAAATATATGATATGTGAAGAAAGAACTCATTAATTATAAGAGAATAATAACAAAAATGAAAGAAAGTAATAATATCTAGTAATTGATAGAAACAATTAAAATAAAAATTGATAAAAATTGATAAAAACAAATAACAAAAATAGTAACAAAAGATAATTAATTATAGAAATCTGACTGACTCGTGTGAACAGCCAAACATTACAAAAGCAAGCATTTCTGTGGTACAGCGTTCGCCGTCGTAGATGGTAGTAGAGATTATGCTTGAAAGAACGAAGATTCCCTAACTCAGATAGGGAGTGAATTCTATAGGAAGGATTACACAAGCCGTCAAAATTTAAGGGGAATCTTGTGCTTTGAAAGATGTTTCTAGAATTTTGATACGCTGAAAGTGACTAACGTTGTCTGTTTTTTTCTATTACCCTACATTTTTTAAATAATCACAAAAACAGTTTTTTTTCCGGAAGTAACTTTTTTATTAATTTTTTCCGGTTAAACAAAAAATAATATTGAGGTCTGTTTTGCGACATTTAACTTAGAAATGTTCCAACAATAATTAAAATTAAAAATATTTTTTCGATGCTTATAAAAATGTTTTGTGCAAACCGCAAAACCTTTGGAAAAATTGTAATAAGAGTAAAAGATGCGAGAAGCAGAGAGAGAGAGAGAGAGAGAGAGAGAGAGAGAGAGAGAGAGAGAGAATGGGGGAAAGGGAGAGGGAAGAATGAAAATACGGGCAATTAAGAGCCTAAATTCGCAGTAATTGGAGCGATTATATCACATATATTCTCAATCATCTACAATATGTACAATATGTAACAAATCGAATGTTTCGGCTTAACTCAAGCCATCTTCAGCAGTCTAGTATACTAAATCCTCTTGATAAATAATTCTAGTAATCTCGTATAATACAACCTTCTTAATACAATTCAAATAGTCGCAAATCGAGTAAAGATGGATTGAATTAAGCCGAAACATTCGATATTATATGTACTGAGAAATGTATGTTGATGTAATCGTTCCAATTAGTGCGAGTTTAGGCTCTTAATTGTCCGTGTTTTCATTTATTGTTTAAGTTTTGAAAATCATTTCTGCAACAATAAAATATAATAATAATTTCTCTTTATTTTTTACGAATATATATTTTAATTTAACATTTTCTTGATGTTTTCTAAACGTTCTGAAAAGAAGTACAAAATGAAAAAAAAAGAAAGACATTGCATATATATATGAATATAAATCTTTTCCTGAAAGTAAATGAATATTTATTAAGTAGTATCTTATATTGGAAAATTAGCAACATTTAAAAATATTTAAAAATAATACTTTTCTCTTCTCGATTACTAACGATTCTTTTTATATAACGTTAAAAAAATTAATCTTTTTTTACATATAAGTTATATGAGAATTGTCAGAGACAAAAGTACTTATATTAGAGTAGCATTGACTAGATATTTAAAACCACGAGCCTTTTATAATTGTACCAACGTAGAGAATATATTATCATTACGCGTTCGGAGAGCAATATATATATATATATATATAT